TCCTTGGGGCTAACATACAGCGTTGCAGCAGCTGGTCCGAACCTCTTCGAACACATTACTGCTCTGCGATGACTTCCTGCGTCTTCTGGTTTGTTGTGCCTGAGCCTGAGCTTGCGCCTACGCCTGCGCCCTGTGCCCTTGTGCCTGCTACTTACGCCCTGGGTTGCTTTCGCTGCTGGCTGCTGGCTGCCTGCGTCTTTGCGCGTTTTCCTATTCTCATCTACTTTCAAATGCACCCTCGTTCCCATCCCCTCCCCTCCCCCCCCTGACTGGATATCCTGGTTCCATCATCCATCCCAATTTGAACCAGTTCTCTGACCTCCCCAAGAGAAAAAAAAACAGCCAGCCTGTCAAGCCTGACCTGAAAGGACCGCTAGCAAAGACTAAACCCTCCTGTACCACGTCGATTGAGACCTGCCGACCCAGACCCTTCCGGGCTTCTCTCATTTCTCATCTAACCCACCCATCGTCTCGCCTCCGCCTGCGCCTACCTTCGCCTGCGCTGAAAAGAAAACATCGCACTCTTCGCGAAGGAAAAAAAGAGTATGACTCTTAGCTAAACCTTCCACAGAGCACCTTTTGACCCTCTCCACTTTCCAGATTCCTTCTGGTCACCCAGCGTCCTGGGCATCCACCTCTACATCCACCTCACTGTCACCTCTTACCGTTGTCCTCATCCCACCGCCCCGTCACCCCGTCACTATGACTGTGCGCGGGCCTTGATCTCACTAAGCCCAAAGGCAAAAGATTCAGACCTTGTTTCCAATCAATCAGTCAATCCTACAGGCGCCATTTTCTTCTTCAACCCCCTTTGGAACATTGCATCACATCTTGGAAATCAGATGTTTGTGCTGAACTGGCATTGCGGCTGCGCTGTTCGTCCTTCTCCCGTCGCTCTTTAAGATCTTCTGATCATCAAAACTGTCTTACCGCACGACTAATTACACCCTCCCCTTCTCCGTCTGCCACCTGTGTGCATCTCGACGGCCTTCCCTTCAATTGGACGCATTGATCACCCTGTTGACGTCTTCTCGAACGAACGCCAGCCGAGCACACGACGCACACCCTTCTGCCACGTTTACACCGACATAAGCCCGTTCAACCAACCTAATTCCACTCTTCTCATCGCATCGGAGGCCACGTTCCAGCCCGGCAACTGGCGCTTCACAACTCAAGACATCCCTACAGATCCCCTGTCGTGGTTACACGGCGTCCTTCTGTGACACGGAGTGAAGCTTGCTAGCGGGAAGAGTCTCGGATATATACAGCGGAATAGCCTTCTATCTTGCAGTGTGCTTGGACAACCCAAAGCCGAACCTTACGCACCCATTGCCCTGGACGAAATACTGGCGCACCGAGGGCTTCACCTGGACGAATACCAAAGTTTTGGCTCTGGGAGCTCTATTCTCAGATTCCGGGTCCAAGTCACCGCAAGCACTTTTTGGAACAAGATACGCTCTTCTGGCAGGATTGGGCACCAGGCGTGCAACATAACCTCTCAATCTAGTTATCCTGACTCAAGCAGCGGTCGACTCAGGGCGAAGTCCAGCGCAATGGTTAAGAAGAAATTGACCTCAATAGCGTGGCCATATACACCTGAACCTTCGCCTCGTCTTGAACCTTTGGTCTATCAGTTGGTAGATATTCCTGAAGACTTCACCATGTCTGAAGAAGAGTTACCTCGGGCAAGGCCCATCACTATGGCAGCTCGAAAAGAAGGTGTCATGTCACCTGGGGCAAGACCAACTTTGGACGATGTGCTCAATAATAAGGCACCCTCACCTTACACCCTAGCCGCCTACACAGCCTTTCTATCTCAACAGCACTGTTTAGAAACGCTTGAATTTACTACAGAGGCCAAGAGATATTCGGACAAATACGACGAAGCGTCAGCCAGTATGGGAGGCATGCCCCTCACAATAGAGACGCAGGAGGGATGGGAATTGATACAGGACTGGACCCGGATCCTCGAGATCTATGTTAAGCCAGGGGCCCCACGGGAAATTAATTTACCGGCAGAGGAACGAGATGATCTGATCGAGCGTTCATACGATATCAGGCCTCCTCGACCTGATTTCCTGGACGCTGCCGTCAAGCGCATGTACGACTTGATGTCGGATTCGATCTTCATTCCATTTTGCAACAGCCTCAAACAGGTTTCACATGCGCAAACATATACGCCCATGTCGGATTTTGCGGACATGGCTGAACTTGAACCTTCGCGGCTGACATATGATGAGCGAGGCCTGCATCGTCGAATGCCCTCGCGCCGGCGGCGATCTCCCCCGCACACCTCAGCAGTTTCCTTTGAAGCTACTCGATCTCCTCCGCAGCAGCATCGGCCCACACAGTCCTCGTCGTTATCGTCGGCTCTAGGTCGGCAGAGTGGGGCGCGCTTGTCGACTCACGTGTCACATTCGTCTGCCGTCTCAGAAAGTGCATTGACTGACAGCAGTGGAGGTCCGGACAGTCCCCCCGTGGGTGAGCTGCTGGAAGCTGATTCAGTCATGACCCCACCGACAACGCCGCCAACGAGTGAGCTGGGTGGAACCATCAGTCATGGGAGTGGGAGCGGAATGGCAAGTGTCAAACCACATCGAAGCGAAAGTGGCGGCTGGAAGAAGGCCATGAAGATCTTCAGCGGCGGAAAGAAGAAGAATGGCGGCAGTGAGCACGACTGACATGCAAAAAGGGGTTCGTTTGGGACTTCTCGAAGCAAGATGGTTTACCCGTTGAAACGGGTTTGTGCCTGATTAGGTGATATTGTGGTTTTTCTGCAATGGGATTACGAATGGAACAAGGAATGGGCGCGTGCCAACCGGGAACAAAAGCCGGCAGCATTTCGGATCATGGGACGGTAATGGAGTTCGCAATGCGACTATGAGATATGATATGGCATGATGGCGTTGGGTGATTTCGGACTGGAAATACGCGAAAGAGTTCAGCACCTTCCTCTTCTTTTTACGATGTTCTTTGCTGGGTTCGGTCAAGAGGCTGGACCATCTCTTCTTTTCCAAGAATCGTTTATTTTGAGGTAAGGAGAGCACGATATGAGAGGACATGCCTGGGTCAGGGACACAAGCCGGGTGGAGTCTCCCACTCCCAGTTCGGGAGCGGAGCTGGACAGAATTGGGCATTCCTCAATGTACACAACGAGTAGTGGGGGAGGATATGAGTGACATGGCTTAGTGGATGCTGATGAGATGGGATAATCAGTAGGAGGGAGTACTCAAGTCGAAGTACTGCCCGCGAAATGAAGCATATGTCGTGAGCTACTGAAAGCCACTTGCTCATGATCATTACCCTTCTACATTGACTCCGCCATGGACAAGTGGTTGATTGATTGCTCTGCCCTTTCTCGAGGCAACAATGTGTGTGTCGATCGACCTTGGCGTGAGAAGCGCACCAGGCAACCGGCCATTCATTGACCGACATGCAATATTTGACGAGCATGATCTGCCGGGGGGAGGCGTCGGGTGCCAAAATATCGATCCTCTCTCTGAAGCGAATGACACCCAGACCAGGGACAGAAATGGATGGCTGCCATCCTAGGGGGTTTTGCAGGGCGGCGTGCGCGGATGTTCTTGGGAATATGGTGAAATGCGGTGCTTAAGAGAATGCTGTGAATCTGCCGGCAATGGTCGGCTGCAGCCCTTCTTTCCTCCTTCCAAGCCTGATCCTCGTACGGGTCGACCGCTCTCTACTTGCGTCTGCGTCGACCAACACCTTCCATCTACGTCGACTTGATCATCAGCACGGCGATCATTTGACCCCAGGCCCCAGCACACGAAAAAGATGCTAACCAGAAGAGCAGAGCCTCGCATCACCCACACCCACCTACCGAGTGCGGCTCCCTGAATTTGTTCATCTCCCACCTCCCTCTGTCCATCAATCCATGACGCCACTCAGGCAGCGAGAAAGAGAAGTAGTCTTTGCCAGGCCAAATCTACTGTAAGAGCAGGGATGATGACGAACGATGACGATGCGCCCCCTCAGCGGCACAGCAAGAAACGCCTTGGGTGCCTCGTGGCTCAGACCCCCCTGGGTTACGACATTGAAGAAATGAAACACGGCATCGCATGGCCTGGTCAGTAGCTGGCCTCGTTGGCCTCGCTGGCCAACCCAATCGGCGGCCTCGCTGGGAGCCCCTCTGCCACAGGGTACAACGAGTTGGCGGCCAAGAGGCGGCCCCCAGGGCTGAAGGATAAAGTTCAGTCGGGCAACTCTCTCGCTCTTCTAGCCTTCCATCCTCATTCTCTCCTCCGCCAATCACCAATGCGGCATGACCTCGCCTGCGGGGACCGAGGGCAGAGAGAGTTACCAAGTACAAGCCGTGCCAAAAGCCCCCTTCGCCACAAGAAGTCCATTCAATATCCACCTGTCCACATGGTCATGGCAAATACCAGCCGGGTTCCTGTTCCCGTGATGAGGGCCCAGACACCCTCATTGGCAATTCTGGCATCAAGCATTAAGGGACACTGGGTATTGCTGGAAGCCTCTGGTCTCGCACGTTTCGAAGCTTCAGTCCTTGCATCGGCCGAGACCACCATCTGACATCCGTTTTAGAGACCTTCTCGCCTCCAATTATCCTACTTGTTTTCGCTCCTCGGCTCCTCATAGTCATGTCACAGACCGATCTTGGTCGTGGCCAAAGCAGTATGGTTCGCATCTGCCCAGTCAACGGACGTGCGAGCAACATATCCAACATATCCCCGAAATGCTGTTTCTTTTCTGTTTCTGCCCTCTCATCGCGACTGCCCGATTATTCCGCCCAGGACGACCATAAAGTTTGACATGAACACGAGAAAGCCAATAACGGCATCCAGAGAAGTTCTTGACCTAAACACGGCTTCAGCCGAAGCCTGCTGCCCAGCTCGAGGTCTGAACTCTGCAGTCGGTCAAAGGTAACCCTGTTCTTTCTTTTCCTCTAGTCAGGTACCCCTTTTCTTTTTCACCAACTCAAGAGTCATCGTTGGGTACCATGTCCTTAGACAGCACCAATGCCGAACAAATACTCACACAGTGTCGTTCTGGCCAATTACTCCAGTCGGGGTATTATCAGCCTATCGAGTGAGGAGCAATTGGATAAATCGAAGTCGCTGGCGACCCCCCGGCTTCTCGCTGGCGCACTGCCACCACAGCCTCAACAATTCATGTCCACGGCGAAATCGAGAGCGAGGGCTTCTTCTGACCCTTTGGTTCATGCTCGTTCTTCGACATTGAATCCAACGTCTACAACCCCAAGGTCGTCGAAACTACAAAGTGTTATCTTCCCTTGTGCCATAACAACTCCCCAGCAGTCTCGAAAGGATGTAGTCTCCCATCGTAATCAGTCAACAGGAGCGATCGATGACACTCATCCTCCAACCAGTGAGCGAAAGGTGATCGTCCACTCAGAGATTGAACCCACCGCGGCTGGGATGGCAGACAGCGATTTTTGGCCTCGTACCTCTGCTACACCACACGGAAGACCGTCAACTGGCTCCCGCCTGCCCTCACCCTTTGAGCCCCATGTCGAAAGTCTAAAATTCACTGTGGAGCAAGATCCGTTCAGAGCAGAGGCGAAATCAGCATATTATCCCATGAATGCTATTTTCAAACCTGAGCAGAAGCTCCTCTCGCCCCTTGCAGCACAGAAGTATGAGCGAAGGAAAGGGTTAAGAGGTGCAGCTCGACCTCAAAATCGGGATGATCTGCCATTATCTTGGCTAGGGGAATCTTTGCAGGATGGTTATGCTGAGCCGCTTCTTTCCATTCGGGAGTTTCTCGCCTCCTCGCCGAGGCTTGCTGCAGGAGACGACAATGCGCACTCGATTTTCCCACAGGCGACCTGCAAGTATGACACTGTACACAAGACGCCCGGCCTCCAAGCTGCGGCACAAATCTCGAAGCATCAAACACCTCGTCGGCAGTCACTCAATCGAGCCTGCATCAACTTCACTAACTTATCTAATGATGAGGTCAGTGAAAACATTCATGGACACATCCCTCAAACGCCACCGGGTAAATCACCGTCTGCAAATACCTCGATTCTGGAAACTGGTGTTCCAAACCCGAGCATCTTGAAACCGGCAGAAGTGCTTCCTAATCTTCACGATGAATTTCCTCTTGTATCTATGCTGCACACAAGAGACAAGTTCGGAAATGAAGCGACATTGAGAAGAGGTCCAACAGAACCGCAAGCCCGACGACGGCCCTTCAGCCTGGGTAGCTGCGAGCTTCAAACCGCACGCCTCCAGAAACGTGCAATGCTCTGCGGAAAGAAGACCGAGGAAGCTATAGGGTACTTGTTCTCGCATGGTCCGGTTGTAGAGTCAAGGCATCTATCGTGGTTGCCGCCAGATGTGGGAGTGAATGCTCAAATGACAGATGAATTGCACGACGAGGCCCGAACCCTTTTACAATTGTCCAAATCCGAAGCTCGTGCAGATGTCACCAGTGCAAGCCCAGTACCTAGTGCCGCTCAACCCGACCAGCCAGAGTTCCAGCGTGTCGAGGCTGACTTCTCCAAACTCACTGACGACTACGAGGATGAAGAGGTTTGTGATCCCATGGATGATGTTATGCCGAACATCTGCATTCACAGACGCAGTCATGAGTGGATCGACGACCGCCTTCTGCAAAATGACTCTAGTCCCAAGATGTCGCCACCATTATCTCAGAAACCCAAGTTAAAGCCCGAACTGAAGTCAGAAGAAGAGATAAGGATGAAGATCCCCACTCCCATCCCGTCTCCTTCACTGCCAGCAATGTCGCCCAAGAGATCCGCTCGAAGAATGGTCAAGTCACTACCGGGATCGGTCTACCAAGTGTCAAGGCCTGTAACCATGCCCGAGTTCGGTGTACCCTCCATCGTGCGGTATGATGACCAGACCGAGCACATCCATGAACCGAGCACGTCGAGGCCTAACTCCAGATGGAGGTCACTCACGTCGCAGAAACAGAAAGGCGGTCCGAGAACATTACGGAAGTTGGCATCATTGTCGCGATTTCCCAGGATGGGAGGTGTTGCAAGACGTGGCAAGGAGACAGTGCCTGTCAGAACAATAGACGACCTTCAACAAGACAGTGACGATTGGACATTACCAAATAGCCCTGTTTCAAAGAAAGCTGCTTCGAGGGCCAGTCCGCCCGAGTCATTCGCAGCAGGAGAAGAAGACGAGGCGATGCCTAAGCCCATAGCACTGAGGCTCCAGCATCAGCATCCTTTGAATTTTAGCAGGCAGTTCCAGAAGGTGACCACTGAACGCGGGTACACTGAACGCGGGTACACAGACGAGATGGATGATATGATATCTCTCTTCTCCAATGACCATGTCGTCTCTGTTAACGTACAGAACGATTACACAAGCAGCCTACACACTGCGGGAGACGAGAGGGAGGACCCAGATGCAGCCCTTCCTCCGCCAGATATATCGCGCTACCGGCCCGATCGCACCAGCTACTGGTACGGGCAGTTTCGTCGTTCACAAACTTCTCTCGCGGCGCTCCCTGGCATCGCTAAACCAAACGCGAATACAAGCGCAAATCGACGGTCCCGCGCTGTATCGGAGAATGCGATGCCATCGATGTTCTGGACTCTGAATGCTAGTTCACCTCCGCCTGTGCCTCCCCGAAGCGAAGCTCGAAAAGCAAAGGGAGAGAACGGAGGCCGGATGGAGACGGGAATGAGAACACTCTGGGGACGATTGAGGCGGCGCATGGAGCGCCGTGTTTTTCCCCCCTAACCGTGTCTTTTGTCTACCTATCACTTGTACCGGATTTTTCTCTCTCTGTTTATTTCATGTTGAAATGTTGAGTCCGACTCGGAACTCGGGATAAGGGACACGGCTCAAGGCACAAGTTGCAAGGAAGGTGACGAAGATACGATGTACGTTCATAGGTATGGAGCACAGTACGAAGGAAGCAGACTGGGCCCAGACGTTACGGCACAATGTACGGAGTATGGACATACACATGCACATACGCACATTCACTATTGTTTAACTACACGCGTTCATAGCCAGCACACACACACACACACACACACACACACATATATATATGTACTCACTAGAAGATGCGAGAGGTCTGATGATTGATCGTGAGCTCCAAACCCCATGCGTATTTGTGAAGCTTGCTGTAGGTGAGGGATCCCAAGATACATTCATACATATATACGATCCGGTGAACAGACGTATCGACCATTGCCCTCCCTTCTCGTGCGTTGTCCTCTTCACTCCTCCGTCTGGATCTAGGCCTGAGCCCGATTCGGGCTCTGGCTCTAGTTTATCGAAAGCAGGTGCATATATAGATAGTGCAAAAAGGTATCCAATGTATTGGGATCGGGAATGGGTGTTGTATGTATGTACAAGCTCTAGCTCTCCCGTACCTGGCGGCGGTGGTGCTGGCTGTGCTGTCCCAGGGGGTCTCTGTTTGCATCTGTACCTGTACTGGGTGTGCACAGATGTGGCTGTCGAGTGCTGTAGAATGCATGACTCTGTGCACTTAGAGATTGATTTCCCCCTTGGCCTTTGCGTCAACAGGTATCGTCAATGAGACTGGACCTGGAGGCTATGTGTCGCGTCGTGTGTCTCCAGGCCTTCCTGTCAGAAGTTGACCCAACACCACGCGTTATGCCCATGCCAAACCGCAAGCTCCACGGTCTCAGGAAGTCACAGGCGCATACTGATAAACCGGCGTCAGCTGAATAAACCCCCCACAAATTCTATCACAGAAACCCCTTCATCTGCAGCAGCCTCCTCACCGGCAGAAAGCTAGAATTCGCCATTCTGCTGCTGAAAACCCACCCGCTTCTCGCGTTTAACCACACATGCTGGCCCCTCCACTACTCACCGCCTCAATCTCCTCTTCCGACCAGGCCTTCCGGCGGAATCGGGCGGGCAACTCGTCTCTGTCGAAGAATTCTCCTTCTTTAGGTTTAATCGGTCCTAATGCATTTCCCGGCGTGCCTCCAATGGCGCCGTATGCCATTGACGGACCTGATGAAGCTACAGAGGAGAATGAGGAGGAAGGCACACCGCCGTTGCCGCCACCTCCTCGTAGGGGACCATGTTGCTGGGCTTTGGAGCGGTAAGCGGCGAAGCTTTCGGGGAGGGTGTGCGAGGGTGAAGCAGGGTGGGCGTGAGGAGTGTGGTCTACGGATTCTGCAAAAAAAGACATGTGTTAGCGGCACCGAGTGTTATTGGGAAACGAGAGGACACGTACTGGGTGGTGTGCGCTTTCCAAGGAATTTTATGAGGGGGGTGCGTTGGTGGGCTGCACGGAGGACGAGGGAGGGGCGCATTGCGGATTGTAGAGCTCGGGTGTCCAAGCTCTGGTCGTTGTACGGGTGTGTTTGAGGTGTAGACGAATTCTATCTGCCTTTGGCTGTATAGCAGCCTTGTCTCTTCTACCTGGGAGTGTCGTGCTGGGCTCTTTCTATGCTTCCTTAGATCCGAACGGGAATTTCTTGCATGTGGCCGTTCGCGCGGCCGAGCTCGGACAACAGCAAGGAGCGACGCAGGAGGGACACGCGCGGAGAAGGAGATGGGCGTTGTCCTTGTGTCTGTGGAGAGCGCGAGGGGGTATAGAGGAGTGACAAGTCCAGGCAGCGCGTGTGCCTGTCGAAAGAAGAGGTCCTGTGGGTTTATCTAGTAGCTCGGGAGCAGTGGGAGCTCGAAAGTGTCCATCGTTCGGAGAAAGGCGTGACAACCCGTCACGGACATCATTTTGCCGATTCGGGAACAAACTTTTTCCATATTATTATTAACCATCACCAACCGAGGGCCACTAATAGTATGATTCAGACCAAGGGACTCCTGTCTGGCCACCTCAGTACGGTGCTTCTGCATCGTGCCGATGGTTGAATAGATTTGTGCCTTTGGGTGTTGCTTCTTGATCTCTCTACTTGTATTGACCTGGCTCTTCTCGACGATGCGCTTGCCTTTGAGTTGCCGCCAAGTCCGATGCTCCGCGCCAGCCAAATTCTCCCCCATCGACTCGAGAACATGTCCGCTTGTTCCCCAGCAACAATACGTCTACTGCCAACTCTCAGATGATGTGTCTCCTGACAGAACCCGATTGCCACAACGAGCCACGTCTTCCGAAGCACGACATATCGGCAGATCGAATCAAACCATTCCCCAGCGAGTAATCAACACTATTCTGGACTTCGGGTAACAGGGCCCCTGAATACCCTCCGCTATGCATGAATTCGCTCTGTATGGTCAAGTGCGCAAGGATGACCATCATCGAATGCTCCAGCAATTAGCCGGCTTTGCACGTATGCAGCCCCAAGATGCCAAAGAGATCCACCTGGTCTTCAAGGCGCGTCAGCCTCCTGGGGTTGATCTGGTCCAGTCTATTGGTGCATCGCATCTCGCCAGTCAGCGACAGCAGGATATCCAGCGCGTTAAGAACATGCTCAATGCCGGCCTGTACTATGTCCAGCTTGTTGGAGAGATAAGGCCGGAGAAACAGGCTCGAGTCACAAAGAACGGCGATGTGACCATGACAAATGGCAATGGTGGCCAAGGCGCGGAAAAGCCAAGCGTGAAATGGTCCTTTGAATTCAAGGACACTCCAGATGCGGGAAAGCAGGCCGTGAGCTCCAGGCTGATATCCCGGACGCCGATGGACGAGGGGGATTTTGTCAAGTTTCTCAGTAATTTTGGCTATGAGTATGACCTCTCCGTCCCCCCAAAGGCTGAATACAGGGCTGACCAGCATACAGCTATGTTTCTCGCTACATGGTTGTTGGGTCAAGGTTCTATGACCACGACACTACTCTTTTCCTGCACAAGGTATTACGGCTCCCGGAAGTAGGTGCGGATGAAGCTATCTCGGACGATTCATTTTTTTTCAGCATCAATGACCTACCCGAGTTGGATGGCTCTGGCGGCTATATCCTCCAGGCATCCATTGATGTGGTTGACGGAAACAATCCAGAGCTTAAGGAGCGAGCAACCCGACAACTATTGGCCATCAAGGAAGCGTTGAGGCAGGCAGTCGATCTAACACCGGGCGATAGATTGGCGCTGGATACGCGGCTGCCTATCACTTCAGGTAGAACTTGAATTGATGGAGATTGTTGCTGTTGTTCGTGTGCAGTCGTGTGGCACCCATGTAGCAGCCTTACTGCCGCTGACTCATCCGATTGCACGTGACGTTGATCAAGGGATGAATGACGTCTTTTCAAACGCGGTGAGTCGCGTCGATTTTCTGGCTTCTCACTTTTGCACCCAAAGTGCCTACTGGTAGTACCTCGCAAAAAGGACATCTTCACCTAACCCTTTCAAGTCCTTCTCTCTTCCTTAATCTGGCTTCCCGTCCATGGCTGACTCTATTGAGTCGCTATACTCGTACTCGACCTGTCCCTTGTTTCCACTCTCCTCTCCTTGATCCAGATATCCCAAGCCGATTCTACACCATGAAGCGATCAGCCCCTCCTCCGGCTGGTTCTATCTCTCCACCGCCAGTCAAGCGCAAAATCGAATCGACTACCACCAGTACGAAGAAGAAGCCGGTCATGTTGTAAAATGCTGATTTGATCCAGAGAAGGCTGTCGCTAGTTTCTTCAAGCCAGCGTCACAAAAAGAACCAGAGAAGCTCGTATGGCGGACCGTTGACCAAACCCTCATCATTGGCCGATATAACGTGCCCCATAAACCACCTCAGCCGCGCACGCTACCCGTCAAGATCGCAGCGTTCGATCTGGATGACACTCTCGTGGCTCCTAATACCGGAAGCAAATGGGCTAGATCTGCAGTGAGTTGGAAGTGGTGGGATCCATCAGTTCCCGACAGACTAAAATCTCTCCATGAAGACGGTTATCTCCTTGTCATTCTTAGCAACCAGTCAGCCATCAGCCTGAAGGATAATCCCAAGACGCTCAAGAAGGACATGGCCAGCCTGGCCAACTTTAAAACCCAGGTCAATTCGATGCTACACCAACTCGACTTGCCTATCATTGTCTACGCGGCGACCTGCCAAGACCGATACCGCAAGCCTCGTGTGGGAATGTGGGAGGCGGTGTTAGAAGACTATGATCTTCAGACTGAAGGAGCTGTGGACATGACAAACTCGTTCTATGTGGGTGATGCTGCTGGGAGAGATAAGAGCGACAAGAGACGAAAGGATCATGCAACATCCGACAGGTACTTGCTAAGGCGATGACACTCGCAAACCCTAGGCTCACTGCTATCAGGGACCTTGCGGCGAACATTGGCATCAAGTTTCAGACACCCGAGGAATTCTTTCTCGGCGAGACTACAGAACCGTACGAGCATGTCTTTGACCCGACAAAGCATCTTGAAACCGCAAAGCCTACTGTGAATGGCTCAGTGGAGAGCGCCGTATCCGCGCCGTTCACCAAGAACAGCCACCACGAGTTAGTCATTTTTTGTGGCTCACCGGGCGCCGGAAAAAGCACTTTCTACTGGGACGTCCTCCAACCACTTGGCTATGAGAGAGTTAATCAAGATATTCTCAAAACAGTGAGTTCCATGTCCCTTCCCCTACTGCTAGTCCTTTGCCAGGGTTGCTTAGACGTTGTGACACCATACCCTACAATGTCAGCCCCTACATCTGCGGCCTGCCCTTCAAAAGCCGTTTTAAGCTGAGACATTACTATATTTGTACAGCGCGAGAAATGCATCAGGAAAGCAAAGGAACTCTTGGAGGCAGGGTTATCCGTGGCAGTCGGTACGTTCAATGTTCTTGTTGCTCGATATGTTGGCTTGTTCAACTTTACCTCTTTCCTCCTCTGCGGTAACCCATGCCATCTGCAGGACAGGGACGAAATGACGTGTCGTGCAGAAATGTCACGCATACAGCTGACTGTCTGGCGTAAGATGTCAGTTTTGTACGACACTGCCCGACATCTCCCGTTGCCCCTGTCCTACAAACCTTCGCGGATCTTCCCCAGATTCCGTTGTAATCGCAATGACTCGATCATCTGGGCATAATATCCTCCTCTACATTAAATGCCAAATTCTCATCCAGCCGAATTCTGCCTTTCCGTTCTTCCCCGCCTCAGCCCTCTGACCTGTCAATCCTCTCCCTTGCATCCCACCGCATCGCGCCATCCATTACATACTGACACTCATGCTACAATCACAGACAACACGAATGCGGACATCGAAACCCGGGCGTACTGGGTGAAAGTAGCCCGTGAATTTAACGTCCCTATCCGGTGTGTTCGCTTCACAGCCTCGACTCGCCTTGCGGAGCATAACGATGCTGTGAGGGCAATGAATCCAAATATGGTGCGTGCCAGTCCCTCACTTCAGACTCGGTACCTGTTGCAGGCTTGGCGCTGTTAATCTACATTCTACCTACACGTAGGCCCAAAAAAACTGACACCTTTCCCTTGCTCATGAACAGATGAATCCCGAAAACCGGACCCAACTCCCTGGCATTGCATTTCGCTCCTTCGTCCAGAGGTTCCAGGAACCTACGCTCGAGGAAGGCTTCGAAGATATCTATAAGGTTGACTTCGAGGTAGGTCCTCCGTGATCATTTGCTTTTGCCACCTTTCTCTTCCGACCCTTTCACGTTAGCTTTCTCTTCTCACTGACATGATGGGACATATAGTTCAAGGGCACTGAGGAACAGAAAAGGCTCTGGTCAAGATACTGGGTGTCGAAGTATTCAACGTGATTGAAGCACCGCAAAGCAATATGACTTATGCTACTGCCCCAGCGACCGGTGTCCGCAACGACGTATATACATCAACATGCGCAGGGCCTCATCTATGGTACCACCGTGTTAGCAGTGAGCATGAACAAAGGATGGAGCACTGCGGGTGATGATTTCAGGGTCTTATTGCACGGGCTCGACCGACATGGCATACTCTTCCGCAGAGGTCGTATGATGGGCAAGACATATAACATTTTACGACGCATGTTTATATGAATCATGAGATACCCTGCGACTTGTCCAAGCAGCAGGTATCATTGGCATTCAACTTGTGGCGTTCGGTCGCTTTGAATACCCATTTGCCAAACTTGCGGCCGCAATCCAGCATCACTAGGAATACCGAGAAACAAGCATCCCTTTTCATGCCGTGTTTCGACATTCAGCGCGCTTCCTGCCCCGTGGACCAAAAGGGAAGGACATCAACACGAGAGCTTCGGCAAAAGACCCAGAGACGATTGTGTTAAGAATCAGGAATTCAAGACCGCCTCTTGATGTGTGGCAGTCAAAGGAAATTACCAACAACAAATAAAGGTCCTATCGAGCCTAGATGAAACGGGACATTGAACTGCTATTTCAATGGCAGAAGATCAATATCAATGCCTTTGAGGTCAAGACCAGGTGTCATTTGGCGACCCGACGCCGAGCCAAGCATTTGGTCAAATACTGAAGGCGATTTTGCGTCCGTGGGCAGCCACAGACCCCGGACGCGCTTTACAACCACCTTGCTTGGTACCGAGTACTTGACGACATAAGAACGACTAATCCACACCCCCCCACATATCGCTGGTGTCCCCTTGGTTGGGGAATCTCCCCCCAGTAGCGCCACAGCGATGGAACAAGAAGCGTCCGAAACCAGGTGGCGCAACCCCGAGACTTCACAAAAATCTAACTCGCTACATTCCCTATTGAAAGCACAAGGAGCTCTGGAAGCTGTGGCATGGCACTACCGAATATTCAGCAAGCCCACTAGGTATGTACTCCGAATGTGCTTCTCGAGGCCCCTATTTCTTTGGCGGGCGCTCCCCGGTCAGATAACGCCCTCATCGAGACGCAATGTGGGGATTGAAAAGACTTTTTCCACTGAGATGACTACCTATCGATTACGGCTTCCCCAACCACTGCAGCATCCCTGCGCGTTGGAGACTGTGGAATCGTCTCGGGCTTTTTCAAACAGTGTTGTTGGCTGAAACGTTAAGGGAGGGGGTTTGAGACAGTACCGAGTACCCGGTACATGCACCTCGGAAGACATAGCTGTGGATACTTGAGCAACAGCGGAGACCTAGGTATGAGCGGCATTGAATTAAGGTTGGAAGCATACTCGGTAACTGTCTACATACTTTTTGCCTGGGCCATCGCCTTTCGCGAGTAGGTTGATAGAGAAAGTTTCGCAACCAGGATCCAGGGCCTAATGCTCCATCTTGTGGGTGCTGGAAATCCACCCGGATTCTGCACGATCCTCTGTAGACGGGTACGTTTTCCCTTGCAAAAGCAATGATGCCATGCATGCCCCTTCGGACAAATGACAATGACGGCGACTAGAGTGGAGCGATTGGAAGCACGAACCAAAGATGGAGACAAAAAGAGCAAGCAGGGTGGGCATTGAGGGCCACCAGGGGCCACTTGATGTAAACCTACTTCAGTAACAAGCGGACCAAACAGACTTCGCTCGTACACAGCCGATTGGCCGCGCAGTTCGCATTGCCTGGTCGCTTCGGATTTTTCCTGCCTCGCGAAGCTGCGATGACTATTAGTAGTTAGTTTGTGAGGAGGAGAATGCCTACCTACTCCGGACCCAACGGAGGACCGAGTACCTAGTGTACAAGTAGACGACTTACAGGCCCAAAAAGGAAATGACACAGAGGAGGAGGATGAGGAGGGATGAAGCCATGCAAATGATAGCAAGGAGATTGAGCACTGAGCACTGACAGCAGTGTTGGGTGTTGGCGCATGTACTGGGTAAGCCCGCCGTTGAGGGATGAGAGGGCGAGCACGGCGGTACTGTACCGGCAAGTTTGTCCGCCTAGGTATATCTGATACCGTTCCTGCATCGATAACCCTAAGGGTAGCTAATGCTCCAGGTTCCTTGCAGAACAACTACCTCCCTAGCCTCTGGTGCCTCTAGCGCCCAGCATCCAGGACGGGCGGAAGCATGAAAGCGGCACGGGCAAAGGCACAAGCGCCATGGCACCGCATGGGCTAGCAAGGCTAGACAGCCGCTAGACAGCTGCTCTACAGCGCCTCCAGACTTTCAAAATCGGTGTCTTGTCTCGGTGCTGCGGTGGAACACACACGCAACAGCTGGACTCCGCCCACCAAGAGCGCCGCTGAAGCATGCGACAAGCCGGTTGCTGTACCTGCAAGGCAGTTGAGCCATCGCTCTCTTAGCCGCCCTTTGTATCTATAGTCAGTCCAGCGCAGGAGCAACACCAACCGCAAACAGGGGCGGACAAGCCACAAACCTCATCAACAGCACCAGCTGCAGCTCACACAAAAGCTCAGACATGTCGCAGCAGAAGGCCAGCAGTGCCCGCAAGACCAGCTCCCTTCTCAACTGACTCGTCTTCTCTTGCAATCCAAACGAGCCTCCACAGCACCTCTTTCTCCGCCGACCGGACAACACCCACGACTCCTCTTGTTCAGAAAGGGGACAGACGTGCCATTGGACGGCCAGAGGGAAGATCCCATACAGTAATAGTGAGTGAACGGAGTAGAAGGTAAGGAGGGAGGGCCCAGTGGGTTTTGTTTGGCACACCAGAGTCTGACTTCTCTTGCTCTGGGCTGTGTCGTGGGTGGCGCCTCTGCTGTCGAGGCCGGATTCGGACCCATGCAATTGCTGCTTCTGAGCTTTTCCCATCCTGGCCGGGGGCCGTTGGCGGGCTCGACGGGTTGACGGGTTGACGCGGGGCTACTTGTTTGGTTGGTGTTGGGGGGTTTGAAGTGAGAGAAAAGTCACAGGGTCGCACCCTTGCGCCCGCCTTTACTAGCCCAAGCGAGCAGCAAAGGATTGGCTACAAGCGACACTGCAGCGACTCGGCCCAACAGCTCCCACAGCCAACGAGCCCAAGGCCATGGCACACAACTTTTTCACTCTGTCCACTCATGCCTCTGCCTCACTTTGACTTTGTCAACACTCCCTCTCTGCCCTATTCACCATTCGACTATTCGTTCTGTGTGTACACATGGCACTCGACTGATGGGACATATGCAAACAGGCAGAGCGTCCTTCCCTCAGCCTCGACCAGTCAATCTGAGTCTGGCCTGAAAGCAGTCGCCGTTGACTGACACCCAAGATTTCAAGCACCACCATTACCACCGCCACCAGGACTCGGTAAAGCTGCGACTGCCCTGCTTTTCATAGCGTTGCCAGTCAAGGCCAGTGTCCAGTCTGTGTTTACCTCACCACCAAGACATCCTCGTCCGCTCCCCAATTCACTTGAGACCACCTTCACCCGAGCCCATCATGCGCGCAGCTGTCCGACTGTGACCTGAGTCGGACCAGTCTCAGTCCCCTTCGATTCTTTTCCCTCTTACTTCCAAACACGCGCTCGACTTATTCAATTCTGCTCCAAGAAAAATACCAGCCTGTTCCAATACCTGTACTTCACCATCATGGAATATACCACTCTATATCCCTTTGACACGCCCGCGCCCGCCACTGGCTCTTCCACCTCTTCGGTCGACACATCCTCACCAACTACATCCATGTTCTCCAAGGGCCATTCTTCTCGAGGCTCCAGCTCTTCCGCTGCGTCCTCGCCCGTCCCTCGAGAGTCTCTCGACATGTTTGGAGGAGTCAAGCGGTTGGAAGATGTCACCGAGGAGCCTCAGGAAAGAGACGAGTTCGATGGTTACACGTTGGTCAACGACGGCACATGTGACTGGAGTGACTATGACAAGGCTTTCGCGAGTGATTATGGTCACCCTTCACCTCCCATATCCCCGATACAACCCGACTGGATCTTGGCAGCATCCGACGACGCGTCCATCGTCGCCCCTGGGCTTTATACTTCGAAGCGACGCAGATCGGTGGAACAGCCCTCATCAACCCAGGGGGGTCGCTTCAGCAGCAAGTTTGGGTCACTCTCACGTCGGTGGAAGAACAGATCGGCCGCTGGACCTCAGTTGTCAATCGTCACCCACATCAGCTCTTCCGCTTCTCGTTCCGGGTCTCTAGGCTCTTCACGCATTTGCAGTCCTGCCCTCAGTGCTGTCTCCAAACATGAAGCCCCCCTTCCGCCGCCGTCAGGTCTGCCGCTGCCGAACGAGTCATTGTCCCTAGAAGCGGATGTGAGACCCATTAATATTGAACAGCAAAGGTCAGAACAGGATTCAGCAGAGTCAGGGCAAGCTACCACCCCCCTATTGCCACCTATGTTCTCGGAGCTCTGCAAGAAAGATGAGCCTGTCCATTCTCCTCTCCAATCACCGGCAATTGCACCTACACCTGCTATTGTGAGCTCACGGACGTCCTTCGATGCGCCATTGTCATGCCTGCCATCACCCCCATTGTCGACGAGACCGTCAATTGTTTCTATGCATACCAGATCCCGCACAAATACGGTCAACAATTGTCCTTTTGGCGACATTCCCCCGTTGCAGCTGTTAGAAGACCCTTCTGACCCTTGGGCCGTTCGTCTGGGTCATGCCAACTACACCATACATCCTGAGCCGTACACCCCCGAGATTATGGACTTGGATTCTTACGCCGAGTTCCGCAACAACTGGGATCAGGCACGAACACACTATGCTAAGCACATAACGAGAACCGCTGAGCACTACGGGTCAACCTCCAAAGTCTACAAGCTAACGGAGGAGAAGTGGGCTTCAATCGACGACACATGGAAGCGGCATCACAATCGTATGAGGACCGCCCTGGCTCCAGTTCTCGCCCGTCTAAGTGACGGTGACTCGGAGACGCAAGACTCTACCACATCCAGCTCTGTCCTCGAAATGCCTCTCAC